GGTGGGGACCTGATGGCGGGAGGCCGCCCAGCAGCCTGGGGCAAGCGGAGAGAGCCACTGAGCTGTGCGTGGCCCTGAGGGGACTGAGACCCCTGGGCAGCGCGAGGCGCTAAGCGGCACGAAGCCCTGGGCAGCGTGGGGCCCTGACTGCATGGTCCTGCCTTGCAGCTGATGCAGCAGCAGACGACAGTTCTCTCCACCTCCCACGGCAGCTACCTGAGCCCAGGCGTCGCCTTTTCCCCTTGCCACATCCAACAGATTGGTGCCGTCAGTCTCAACGGGCTGCCAGCCACTCCTATTGCACCAACATCAGGTGAGGGCCTGGTGTGTGCCAGGATGCAGCAAGTCCTTCACTACCAATGAACCTCCTGCCCCAGCACTCAGCACGGTGCTCATACAGGTAAAACAGTTCCCACATCCCTCCGGGCTCAGCATCTGGATTAGACCACTCTTTTCTAACAGTGCAGCCTCTTAGGACAGCAGTCACTAGCTCGGCACAGATTTCTGCAACCTCCCCGACACCCTCACACGTTCAACACACGTTCTCTTGCCCTACTGCTGTTCCTCTCTGCTGCAGTTTTTCCCTTTGATGTAGTAAAGAACCCTGTCCATCCCCAGGATTGCACCTGAGTGTAGCACTGCTATTATTCATCATCATCCTCCCACAGTAATAATACCAGCAATAATGCATATTGGGTTTGAACACCTGTCAAGAACAAGGCTATATCATGCTAGGTGCTGTACAAACCTGGATTAAAAATGTTCCATCCCAAAACTCTTGACAGCAGCCAGCGCTAGCAATGCTGCACACACTTTTCTCACCAGTGCTGCCTCTAATTTTGTGAAGGCTGCAGCGCTAGTCTGTCACTTCCACCTGCCACATGGAAGAGAGAATAGCTTCATACACAGCAGTATTTCCAGGCAGATGGAAGGAGGGAGCAGAGGCTTTGCGGGACCTTGGCTCTCATGGGATGTCCTCTCTTCTTGCTCTACAGGGCTACATTCACCGCCTCTCCTGGGAACAGCAGCCATGCCAGGACTGGTGGCACCCATTTCAAATGGGTTCACTGGAGTGGTACCATTACCAAATGGCCATCCAACCTTGGAAACAGTTTACACCAATGGCCTTGTTCCCTACTCAGGTAAGGAGAGCAGGGAAATAAAAATCATTCAGAGACCTCAGGAACTGCAGTTAACTCCTCTCTTCTGGATTCCCCACACAGAACACTTCTTCTAGCTCCCTACCAGCCAGGCACTGAGACTCACTTGGCAGGGGGTTGAGGGGGGGGGGGGAGAGAGAGACCCTGGGAATGCATGAGTGATTGCCTTTGCTGTGCTTCTGATTATGTTCTTCTCTTCAGCCCAGAGCCCTTCAGTAGCAGAGACTTTGCACCCAGCCTTCACAGGAGTTCAGCAGTATGCAGGTACCAGCTTCCCTTGTCTCCCTCAGGCCCTTGTGTGGCTGACCGGATCCTCAGGTAAACAGTTTGTTCTGTCTCCTTGGAATACAGCTGTGTATCCAACCACCACCATTGCTCAGAGCATCCCCCAGCCACCTCCCATCCTGCAGCAGCAGCAGCAACGAGAAGGTGAGGATCAGGGTGGGAATGTGTGTGTCCAGCGGGGGCGGGGGGAGTGGGGCAGGATTTGTGTAGCTCATCTTCTGCACCACAGAACCAATGGAGAGGAGACAGCACTGATTTTTGTCCACTCTAATAATTAATATTGGAGCTGGGTTATGGAACCAACCATGTTTCTGCAGTGAGTGGACTGGAAGGGTGCAGAAGATGCTTGTCATGCAAACTTCCTAAGCTCATCGCTGGCCAGATGCTGCCAAGTACATAGAGGACAGCAAGCACTAGAACACCAAGCTTTGACACCAGAGGGTATGGAGTCAGCACCCTTCCTAGCCTCATGAGTTTCTTTCTCAACTTATGTCAAAACTGGCCTGGACAGAATTTGGAGGCAAAGGCATTCTATCTGCTCCTGCTTCATACAGCAGGTGTCATCGAGAGAACAGCTCCTTGTGTTCACCAGGCTCACAGGGAGCAAGTGAAGGAGTGGGCAGAACCAGGTCAGCCCATAAATCGGATGTGTGGCAGGGAATGCTAGAGCAGCAGCTTTCATATAGCAGTGTCTGCTGCTCTTCTAGGATTAGGAGAGCTATGAACAAGGAGCTGTTACCTCAGATAATTTCTTACCAGCAAAACAACACCCAGACACTCACAGACTTGTTGTGGCCCGCACCCCATGTGGGTACTATGCAAGCTGTGAAAGTGAATCTGCTCTCCAGAAACTTAAGCTCTGCATGTTACCTCCCAGCTGCTCTTGGAGAGCCCTCGGAACCCTTCGTGGACCAGTGACTGAGAGAGACAAGCAAGGGGAGGTCGAGACAGAAGGAGGCAGTACTGGTCATTTGGGGCTCTCTGTTTTGTCCCTCCCCATTGCCCCCATGCCTGCAGGTCCTGAAGGCTGCAATCTCTTCATCTACCATCTCCCTCAGGAGTTTGGAGACAATGAGTTGATGCAGATGTTCCTGCCCTTTGGCAATATCATTTCCTCCAAGGTATTCATGGATCGTGCCACCAACCAGAGCAAGTGTTTTGGTGAGTGCTGACGCCAGCGGGCAAGGGAAGCATGATGGATAATGAGGACATTCATGCATTGGTCATGGCACCAACAGTACTGTTATGATCCATGCCTGTGTCCCGTCCTTCAGGTTTTGTAAGCTTTGACAACCCATCCAGTGCACAGACTGCTATCCAGGCCATGAATGGCTTCCAGATTGGCATGAAGCGTTTGAAGGTCCAGTTAAAACGACCCAAGGATGCTAACCACCCCTACTGACAGCAGTGAGCAAGCAGGAGTCACTTCTGCAGCACAGGTAAAGCTGGCACCATCACAGCACAGTTCCTGCGCCATGCTGGCCAGTGTCAGGGGCAGCAAGGTCTGGCTGCTCCCTGTGGGGTGGGAAGCCAGGAGCTGAATGCAGAAACACGGCTAGCAGGGCAGAGGCCTCACCTGCCCGGGCCCAGCCCCAGCACCTGAGCAAGGTGACCAAGGCAGGCCTGGAGATGATGGCCAGGTTCAACCAAGAGTTTAGATCATCAGGCAAGTTTGTGGCAATGAGGCAGGCCCAAGGCCAAGCCAGAGAGCTGACCTGCAGGCTGAGATCAGGATTGGGTCTGGTCAAGGTAAACAGGGTCAGACACAGTCCAGTAATTGCCGGGCAGGTCTATAATGAGAATAATAAACAGATCCGACATCAAGATGGGAAGACAATCCAAGGGTTGGAGTCCAGATAATAAGATCCGTGGGCGGGACAGGTCCCTGGCACTTCTGTGATGTAGGTCAGCCAAGGAGTGAAGCTGCAGTGAGACTCCTGGGCCCATGGGCAGAGTGTGGACAGAAGCTGCAGGTGAGGTTGGTCAAGGCCATTAGTGCACTCAGGGTCCTGACAGGCAGATGGGTTCAGAGAACCTGCCTGTGATCTAAGCAGGGTTTCAGTCTACTTTCTGACTGCCCTGCAAAAGCGTTCAGCTTCCTAAACCGGTTTGGAAACCCAATAGTTTTGTTTTCAATTGTTACAACTGCCCTGAGATTAGTCTGCAGAGAATGCTTTCTGGGGTAAGAAGGGTCAATCCTATGATTCACAGGGATCACAGAAAAGCAAAGAAAAGGTGAGACCCTGAAGGGCCACAGAAGAGCTGCCTGGCGTGACAGCTGGCTGTCAAAAAGCTAGCTCCTACCAGCCAACAGACTGGGAGCAAGGGAGGGCTGATCTTGGTCCCTTCTGATGGGGGTCATCTTCCTCCATATTTAAGCAACAGCAACTCAAAGCCTGAGGTTTGCATAGATGTCCTCCTAATCTCCCAATTCCCTCCCTCCTCCCTTTCTATTCAGGTGAAGGGAAAGTCCAGAGGAAGAATTTCTGCTTCAGGTTGATTTACAGAGAGGCCAGTAAATTTATCAACTCTTTTGGCACCACCCCTTTCCTTCCTCTGCTCCCAACCTACCCAGTCCATCTTCCTGCCCTCCTCCCCAAAACATGCAATTAAAGAGAAGGCTCAATATCTGCCCAGCAGGAAGATTCTTGCCACGATGGACATATTTGCTGCTAATGTGGTGCATAGCAAAGGGACCAGAAAACCAGCAGCCCCTGTGGACCCGAAGCTCTTCCTCTCGGGGTGTGCCTGGAGTACATGGACCAAGAAAGCCCACTGGTGTGTCTCTAGGTTACTGCAGTGATGTATGGAAACTTAGCTCCCTCCCTCCCTCCCTCTTGCCCTGTCTCTGGGCCCTTTCATAGGAAAATATAAATATATATATATATATATACAGTCTCTATTTTTTTTTAAAGTGGCTCACAGGACCAAACTTTTCCATTCAGAGACTGACTCCTAGCAAGAGGGATTGGAAGTTAAGGGTTTACCTTTGCAACAGTGTCTTCTCAACAAACACTGCAGATAGGCCTGAACATTTTGAGAGGATGCTTGGATGGACAGAGAGCGAGAGAGAGCGCGCATCTCTCTGCTCAACATTAGCAAGAAGCAAGGAGAAAGAGAACTACATACCTCCAGAATTAGGGCACAGCCAGCTGCTCAGCTTGAGTCACTCATCCACCGACCTTAGCACCAGCCTGGTTAAGGATCTCAAGAGCTCTCAGTCTTCTCTTTCCAAGGGCTTCTGCAAACAAAGCTCCTGGAATTTGGTGCCAAAGCCTATCCTGAGCACTCCTCGATTAGGCTGAAAGCACAGGAAACCAGTCCCTTTACCTATAGGAACTGTACTGCCTCCCCACGTGGCACAGATCCGTGTTTCATAGCTCTCCATGGTAACGGAGCATTTTACTGATCAAGGCAAGAGAACATGAGAGAGTGTGAGCAGACGCAATCTCCAAAACAGAGCAACAGAAGCCTCCCAGGGGCTACGCACTGCCTCCCCATGTTGGAAGTAACCTAACGCTGGTTAGCAGGCAGTTCTAACTCCCAGATGAAACGGGACGTTTTCTCCAGCTGAATTTAGCAAGAGGACTCACCTCTTACACTCTCTGCAAAGCTTTCCCAAGCAGACAGAAGGATAGTATGATGAAAGAGGGTTGCCATTCTGTTTTTTTCCCCACCACCCCCTCCAAGGAACATGTTACACATAGTGCAGTATATATAGATACAGCTATGTACACATACACTTAAGCACAGAACATAGTTCAAAGCTTGGTTCAACGAAGATCCCCTGGGGGGTAGGGGCGGTGTCATACCGACAAGGCATATCCCTTTAACAACTTGAAACAGTCCCTTTAAGTTCCTACCAAAATAAGGAAAGGGAAGAAAATCAAAACCAAGCAACCCCACAAACCTTCTGAATGATTAGTTTCAGTATTCCAGCGTTTGATGAGGTACCAGGAACATTTGTGTGTGTGTGTGTGTGTGAGTGTGTATGTGTGTGTGCACTCAGACGTGAGCAGAGGGTTAGTGGAGAAAGGTTGATGCAATTGATACTGAAGTGAGATATGGGGATTTCAGAGAACCTCAGCCAATTCTCATCCTCCTCCAGTTTCCCTTTGTTCAGATGTTTGCGGCACAAGCTCTTTAAGTACCTTCACATCTCCTCAACCACCGCTCTGTATCTGATGCTGAGAGTTTATGAGGTGGATGAAGCTGTGCGAGTCTGTGTGTTTCTATAGTCCATGTTTACTTATTGTAAATACCATTTTTATACTTAACATCTATTATGTACGTGATTTGTATAATGTACTTTATTTCTGCTACACGTAATTTCATGGAGTTTAAACTTAATCTAATTTTGAACAAAACAAAAAAAAAAAAAGACCAACAAATGCAAAATGGGAAAAAAAAAAAAAGGACTTTGGACATTATAGGTCAAGCTGGTTTAAAACAAGCATTTACAGTTTCTTCCATCACAGTTGGTGATGTGACTACAACGTTACAGGTGCGATATAAGCGTTGTCAATGTCAAATTCCTCACTCTGGTCAAAAAAAATCTTAAATTTATTTAATAAAAGTTTTACTTGCTAAGTAACTGGGGTTTTACTTCCTGTGTTAGTTGCACCTGCTTTTGGATAACGCTTACACTTGAAAACAATCGCCAAAGGCCTGGGGCAAGGAAGGTCTGTTTCCATGCAGGAAATCATCTGTGCCGTCAGCTCAAAAGCATTTCACAGGGGCACGGCTGGCAGAGGCTGAGGCCTACAGAATAGGACCCTGCCTTGCTCTGAACACTGCACAGTGCCCCTGTATCGCTAAGAAGGCTGTCTGCAGATTGTTAGTCCAGTCTTCAGCGTATGATCCCCCAAATGCACATTTATTATCTTAGCCCAATTGCAACGAATGGGTTCAGAAGCCAAGCGCCAGCAGAGCTCAACACAAACCGCTCACAGCCCTTGTGTGCAGATACCAGACATCTTGTAAGAACTGTGTACTCTGCCCACACCTGAGAGAACAAAACTGATTCTCTCAACAGCACCTCGATGGAAATCAATCAATTAGTGGAGAGCCAGAGCCCACCCTACCTGGTGCTATGCACAGAACCAGGAAAAGGAAAGCAAATGAATGGACTCCTCATCTCTGCCCTGAAGGTGAGGAACACGCTTGGGGTTGGTAGAGCACCAACTCCATTTGCAATATCCATGGTTCAGGGTTGTGTGTCCCCCCCCACCCCCTTTCTATAACAGCACCAGTTTCCCTGGGACTTTCTTCTGCTTTGAAACCCCTATTTAATGGAGAAAAGCAGAATAAGAACAGAGAACGAAATCTAGGCCTACCTCAATTTTTGATACCTCCTTGCCCCTGCACCAACACAACTCTAGTGACTGAGCCAAGGCGTATACTGCAAACTCACGAGAAGCAGGCAGGTGTGTGTTTTAGAAGAGGTGAGTTCAAACCCCAGAGTTTGTGAATTGTGATGCGTTCATGGTTCCACACAGCTCCATAGAAAGCTTTGTCACGTCAAAATCCAGTCAATGGCAAGGAGAGAGGAAGGAAAACACTCGGTGCCTGTTCCTATGATGTGAATAAAATGTACTTGCGACTGAAAGTACCGCACACCATTCCCAGTAACAAGCATAAGAACTCGAGCTGCAGTGACATCTCTTGCAGGCACACAAGTTTTTATATTTAGCTCGGAACAAGAGTGCACTTAGTCTAGCACCTCGCTGTCAACAGAGCAAAGGAGGAGGGGGCATGCAGTGACCCTTTCCCAGGAAGCCACCTCTCACTGGCTAGAATGTACCCCTCAACCTGTTGGGGTGGGTGGTTTTTTTTTCCCCTTTTCTTGGCAAAGACTATTTATGATTGAAGAACGATTGCGATTGGCAAGGTTCTGTACACTCCATTTTACTTCTAGATCCCTCCCTAGACAAGCCTGATTTTTTTAAGCAATACCTGGCTGTTCCAATAAATTCCAAACCTGTTAACTAGTTTCTACAAAATGTTCAGCTTTCAAAGGTACTTTAAATTCCTTCAGGATCCATGCATTGCAGACGGGAACAACACACAAAGTGACCATCCTCTCAGACACCAAGGAGCCCACATAGGATCCCTTATCCATCCCCAGCCCGGGAGGATTCAAGCAGAGACTGCTTTTTTTTAGCTGCTAGAACTCACAAGCCGTAACACCTATCCATAGGAATAATGTGTTAGGGAAGAACTCCCTCTACATTCTTTCTCCTGTTCAGTGCAGGAATCAACCCAGCTTGGCATTTACAGCAAGGAAGGGCTGACATATCAGGTCCTGTGCAGTCAGCAAATATCTACCAACAGGCCTATGCTCACTGAAGCCAGGTCACCAACCTTCCCTCACAGAGGAATCACCAAAATGTAACACCAACACATAGAAAAAAAAACCAGTTTAATTGAAATAGAGATTAAAATTCTATTTATAGGAAGCAAGAGGGTTCACAGAATCCACAAAACAATGAAGCAGTGGAGCAGGATGTCCCAGGAAGGTACAGACATTCCAGGACATCCTGTACAAACAGAGGTTAAAGCAGGAGCTGAGAGAAGACTGGAGGCAGTAAGAGCAGACAGGTGAGGCTGAAGGAGGGGAGCTGGGTGGAAGGCTAAGACAGAGTGAACAGTGAGAAAGATCTCTGACTGATGGGTAGAAATCTCAGAACCGTGGCTGAAGCAGGATAAGAGGGAGACCAAGAAGAGTCTTACAAAAAGAGCTAAGGTTACTTTGCCACCACTGCTGCCCTGCTCCTGCTTGACACCAATGGTTGAATGGGATGCTTAGGGGGACATGGGGAATATCATTAGAAGGGATGTAGGCTGGGAGAGGAAACAGACTGGGCAACCCTTAAGGACTGCTGTAGTTATAGTAACTCCGTAAAACCTCGTCCCCATCATTGTGGAACAAAGCCCAGAGGTAACACACGTGCTGCAGCCACCATGGGTAGAAAATCTCCGGCACCCGTGTGGCACCCCCCCGGATGATGGCGAGGGCAGCTTCAGGAGCAGGAGAAGCAGTTAGGTGTACTTTGCCCCTGGAAGGAAACAGTCAGAGGATCACTCAAAGCCAGTCACTCCTTGGTATGGTTTTAGCTGTGCAGACTGACTACCACAGGGTTCTGCATGCTCATGTTCCATGCTGAGGTGGACATGTACAACCCCCATGATGTACCCAAGCAGATGCACTCTTCCCATGAGTTTTCTTGCACATCCAAACGGATGCGCACACCATCTTAAACAGAGTTGTGGTGCATTTTTTTTACATGCTTTCAAGACATGTTCCTGCAGACACACTCCCTCCCAGACTCCTACATCTTCCTCCGAATACACACCTGGTATTCTCCAATGCTGAATCAGTGTCAATCAGGCCCAGGATGCATAGTGTGATAGAGACATTTCTCTTCTGCATGATGAGTTCATGGCGCAGTGAGCTGAAGAATCCATCCAGTGCAAACTTGGTGGCAGAATAAGAAGTGGTGAAGGGAGTGGGTATTTTCCCTGGAAAGGAAAAGGAAAATGAAAAGAAAGGAAAACACCAGGAAAGTGGCTGTAAGGAGGATGCTGCCATGGAGAGGGAACCTGGGCAAAGACAGGCTTTGCCATCCTGCATCAACCCATGTTCTGTTCAGGTGTGTTTCCCTCTTTCTGTCATGTGCAGGCACTTAGAAAATTATACCACTCGGTGTGAGCGCATCCCAGCACAAAAGCCACCACATATGTGGGTAAGGGGAGGAAATTTCTTTTAACTTACACGGTAACTGGGTCACATGCTAGGCTAAAAAGCCCAGTGTGGTGGTCTTCCCCTCCCCCATCACATGCAAACACATGGACTGGGTCACATGTTAGTGCATCTGGCCACAATATTTCCCTGACACCAAAGCACGTTATGTCACAAGGCAGGGATGAGCCATAGTCTGAACTTGTGTATGGTGATGCAGCTCCCTTGAGCACACACCGAAGACTTTCTCCTGCTTTTCCATTCCATACAGTAGGTACAGCTACTCGGCAGCCTGCTATTCAAGCTGGCCAAAGCCAGAAGGCCTTAGAGTGGCAGGATGGTCTTAATGCTGCATCAGAAAATGCAGGAGAGATGGGTCTGGCTGTGAGGGACAGGAGCCAAACAAGCAGGTCTGGGCACATGAGTAAGCAAAGAGTAAAGTTCCAAAGGAATGCAAAATGGTGCAACACAGAGGAGGTCTTCCAGAAAACAAGAAGGTCAGCCAGCCACCACTATAAAACACGCAGCTTGAAAATCTGTTGAGGGGTTGAAGGACACAGGGAAACATGATGTGCTGGGAACCATTGTTTCCACGAGGCCAGCACTTACACCAGTTAAAGACACTAACCTGTGAGGGAAGAAACAACCACCAGAGAGCCTGTATTCTTCTCCAGGGTGGGAAGAGCTGCTGTTGCCAGTGCCACATAACTGAAGAAATTCACCTGGAATGATAAAAGTAGACATGGAAGAAGCAAGAGGGTTTGGAAGGAAGGTCAGCATGAGCCAGAAAGCTAAATACAGTGGTCAGGAATGGAAGGGAGCATGGCTTGGATTTGCTTTTTCAAACATGATCAGGCAAAAAGAATTATCTCTGTGATAACGGGGAAAAACATTGCATCCGTAAGTCTTTCAGATTCCAGAAAAAGCAATGGAGAAGAATCAGAGCAAAAGTTTTTCCTGGGCTTTAACATACAGATTTCTTGACAGGAGACAATTAGCTGTCGCTGATTTCTGTATATGCCATTCTTTACTCTGCAATCCCTATCCAGCAACAAGGACAAAAGTAGTCTCTCATTTGCTCCCCATTTAAGTTTCCCCTGACTGAGCTCAGACTACAACAAAGCATAACATCCAGCATCTCTTCTGAGCTTGACTGCTCTCTCACATGTAAGAAATGTCTAACCTGTGATTCCAAGTTCCCTACTCTCTAGCAAACAGGCTCCTTCCAACATGAAATAGAACCAATAAGACCCACCTGACCAAAGAAGACTGAACCAAGAAAACAGCTCTTCATCTCCACGGTCCCAAAACACGGTACCAGGGTGATTCTATAGGAAAACTCTGAATCTGTGAATCTGACTCAAATGGCAAACACCATTTCAAACAACCTTATTGTATTCTGCATGTGCACTTACTATAGATTAGTAGGAAGTGCTTGCTCCTCACCTGTTGGCCTTCCTGAACTAGACGTACATTGTACAACTGCCCGTAAGTACCTGTCAATCCCTAACAGTCCTGGGCTAATGGGAGATAAGGACAGAATGAAGGAGAGCAGTCATTCCTCTGCACACACATGCAACAACTGAGCAAAACACCTGTCTAGTAACGAAGTCTCCAAACCATTTGACTTGAGACATGAATTAAATAAACGGTTTGCTCTCACCCATTACCATAGACTTGAATTTGCCTTTGAGCTTCCCAAAGCTGTCCCAGGAGAATTGGGAATGTCTCAATTCCAGGTGAGCTCTTCCTTCTTGGAAACCTCACCTGCATGAGCCAGCGGGTGTATTCCACATCTCCAGCCCACATCTGGAAACGGGTCACGCCAATGTGATTCAACACCAGGTAATCCAGCCCACCTGTTGACAGGAGAAAAAGCAGTGAAACAAAGGGGCCATCCCCTAATCAGTAACCAAGGAACTCAGAAATGGCAGCAGGAGGGCTGAACCAACCAGCCGCTCCCCCCGAAGGCTACACAGTGCTTTACAGTGAAGATACATGAACTATGTCCCTCTGGGAGCCCCTTTGCCTGGTCCTCAAGGGTACACTTGGAAGGAAAGCTGTTCTTTGACAGCAGCTCTCACCCACCCAGCCGCTCCCTCAGAAGGCTACACAGTGCTTTACAGTGAAGATACATGAACTATGTCCCTCTGGGAGCCCCTTTGCCTGGTCCTCAAGGGTACACTTGGAAGGAAAGCTGTTCTTTGACAGCAGCTCTCCAAAATGATGTTTCAGGGTAATGCAGACTTGGAACTTAGTTCTGGTGGTACACTCTATTTTCAAACTTATAAGTATACAAATTTGTAAAAGAAAAAATTATGATTGGTATGGAAATGTATCAGCAGAAACAGCAGAAGGTGTAAAAGAAAGGTACAAATTGATGGCTGCTGGACTGGCAGGTCATGCAGATCACAGCACACTTAAGGTTTCTTAAGAAGACACCCATATCAGGAAAATCAAGAGCACAGTGAAGTACTTTCTGCATACTTTTCTCCTGTAACGAAAGACATGCCCTCTCCATGAAAGGCAGCTAAAAAGATGGCCACATCCAGACTGGTATTTACAAACCCCACATCCTCCTGTCCTAAACCTCCGTCTCCGTGAGGAAGGTGGAGAAACTTGAAAAAAAGCAGGAAGCTCTAACTGGAATGAGAACTGTCCATATACCTGAAAGCCAAAGAGATGCCCAAGATGCTTACCCAGCTTTTGAACAGCAAACTGAACCACCTTTTCAGGCTCTGAAGGGGAAGACATATCTGCAGGAATATAAAATACTTTCTTTGCTCCAAGTGTCAGGCATTTCTCCACCACCTTGAAAAAGAACACACACCCAAAGATAAAACAATATGGAGTGGGGGGAAAAGAATAGAAGTAAGGGCACTGTAAGGCACTGTTTTTTCCCCCCATACTACCATCAGTGAGAGTCAACTCTGGACCGAGACACACTTAATTTTAAACCTACTGCTATTCAGCCCCCAGAGAGCTCATTTTGCATCCAGACTTTGGTTAAACAGACAGTTAAACAGAGGTAACTCTTAGCAGGCTGCAGATTCAATCTACCTTGGAAAAGGCTCAGGATTGACCCAAAAAAGACAGTCTTCTTCAGGAGAAATGTTCTGCAATAAGGGTTATGCTTTACATTATGTTCTTCTTTTTGTTCCAAAATACCTGGTAAGGCTCTAGCAGTATTCATCCTTCATAGTTCCATTGCTATGTTGAGTATGTGAAGGTGCCCAGTGATGAGATGCACTTTAGCTGTTTGCTGAAATAATGCCTTTTAGGCATTAGGAACTATTCTTATGCTCACCATCCCCAACTCTCCTTTTGTGCCATTTCATAGTGAAGAACTTTCCTTGCAAGTCACCTGTCCCCACAGTTTAAGAGACACTTTCTCTAAACATCGTCCCATTATATAAACTACAGACACATCTGTAGTTTATGTAACTACAGATAACAACATCTATTCAAGTTGGTCAAAAATTACTTAACCTACAAAAAGGTTTGAGTCTTTAACAAAACAGCTACACATATAACTGTTTGGACTCTGAAAAGCTGCACAATATCGCACAGGAATTGTAGTTCAGAAAATTCAGAGTTCATAGAATATCTCGAGTTGGAAGGGACCTGTAAGGATCATCGAGTCCAACTCCCTGCTCCTCGCAGGACTATCTAAAACTAAACTATATAACTAAGAGCATCATCCAGATGCTACTTGAACTCTGACAGGCTTGGTGCCATTACCACTTCTCCCGGGGGAGCCTGTTCCAGTGACTGACCACCTGCTCAGTGAAGAATGTTTTCCTAATGTCCAATCTGAACTTCTCCTGACACAGCTTCATACCATTTCCTCATATAAAAGTTCAGCCAGTGTATATGCACGTTCCTACATAGGCCAAGCTCCCTTCTGGGTTACACCCCCCCACTTTACAGTGTACACTTTACAGCCTTCTGGTAAGAAAAAAACCCCTGGGCATATTGCAGCAAGCACCAGTATATGGCAACACAAAGTAGCCCATCCAGTAGATCAGTTACAGAGAAGAATGGCACAGGACTCTGACAGCAAGTCAGGCTCCAAACATGTCACTGGCATGTTCCATCTTGCTACATTAGTCAAAAGAATTTCAAAAGTAACTAAATAAGCTGGTTTTGCTCAACAACAGTTCTGAAGGAAAATTTATCATACTGACAACTAATTTGTTGTTGTTGCTGGGTTTTTTTTTTTTTGGTAAAAGCCCAAATCTGTTATGTCTTCCCTCATAGAAGGAAGTTCTTTCTTACCTTTTGCAGCACAGCTTCCCTCCTAGCAGTCAAAACAATTTCAGCACCAAATCTGGCATAATGATATGCCATCTGCTCCCCAATTCCAGCACTGGCTCCAGTCAGGAGAACGCGGGCACCAGACAAGCTCTCTTATTTATGGTAAAAAGAATAAAAGATATAGAAGTAAGTGAAGGAAGCAGCAGAGGAGCTGCTCTTAGCTATTGGCAGAGCTCTAAAGTAGAAAGGTGTGTGTAAGTGCTCAGAAGTCTTGATGCTTCTCTAAAACTAGAAGAGGCAGGACTGACCCAAACAAGCCATGAGATTAACAATACCTTCCAATTCTTGCTAGACTGAAAATAATTTAAAAAATCACTTAATCTTTGAAGAATGAACTATTTTTCCCTTCTGACAGATGCGTACAACGAAAAGGTTAGTCATCAGCCACCTCATGTCAAGTAGCCAGCCATATCGCTCTGTTTTGGCATGGGAAAGCTCGGCTAGCTCAACCAGCTCCAGCACATGGCATTCAGCTCAGCCTACCTCCACTAACATGCAACAGCCAGTTCCCTCCTCCATCATGACAACCCCCAGGTTCATACTTCAGTCATGGAGCAGGAGGCTCAGTCTGACCCGCTTCACTCAGACAGCAGCTGGTGTGCTAGAAACCAAACAGCCTTGCTTCACTATTCCCATCCCTTTTCCCCAGCTCAGCATTCTGCCATAGAGTTGGATAATGGATAAAAGCATGCAGCCAGCATGGCTCGGTTGCCATGGAACAACCCCCAGGTCCAACTGCCCAAGAGGTGCATTGTTATATTACTGCATGTTTGCTGTGGACATTATGCCTAGGCTACCACTGCCAGGGAATAACGATATGATTATGCAAGTTAGCTGTGTCACACCCCCTTTGCCTGGGTTCCTAGACCAGTATCTTTCAAGGACAAAGTTGGTTTTCACATTGTAAAAAGCAGTACAACATAAACCAGGCTCTGGGCCTTCTGCCTATCATCTGTTCTTTGCCATCAGTTTGGAGTCTTGTCAGCCGTCTTGTGCTGGGCACTGTGCATCAGTAGAGATGATTCTTGACCCTAAGGAGTTTGCAATCAAAACTAAAAAAAGAGAAAGGCAGTGGCAAAGTACATGTCATTTTTTACCCACATAGACAGCAGGATCCCTTGTAAATGCTGTGAGACCATTTTGTCTTCCTCTTTGTTTCAAGCTTCTCTTTATTTCTGGGAATGAAGCATTGCTTTGGGGCCACCAACTGTGGTTAAGACTATGGGCAGGAATGAGACCACCAGTCAGAGCTTGGAAATTCAACCTCTACACACACACACACACACACACACACACACACACGGTGAGCCTACCTGGCTTAAAGGGGTCTTTCCAGAAGAAAGCTAGGACCCCAGCTACAATCCCTGTAGCGCAAAGCAGTTTTCCAACTGGCTTCATATCCCTCAAAGTTGTGAAGAACAAAGTAAAGTCTTGAAGCTGAGCACTCCAGCCAAAATACTGGAAACTCCTTCCTCTGATGCTGGAAGTCAACCTGCAAGAGGCATGTAAAGTCCTTTTCTGTCCTGCATATAAGAGAGGCCTTGTGTAGAACAGAGACTCCACCTGAAAAATGTCTCCACTGGCAGCCAAAGAACTCACCTTTGTTCCAGAATAGGGAGGACATGGACAACGAACTCTGATAAGAAGCTGCAAAGAAGTTGCTGTTTCGCTGTTGAAGGGAGGGAACACCGCAATCCTGTGAATGGTTTGCATTTGCCCAAGAAAGGTTAGGGCTTGGCTGTGCCAAGCAGTGCAACTCCCTGGTCAGAAGTAACCTTGGCGGGATGAAAATTTAAAAAGCTGCAGGCCTGAAGACAATGAAACCTGCTCTTGTATGAGAGAGGAAGGGATCCAAAGAGGGCAGAAAACAGATCTGGAGAAAACTCAGGAAATCATCTCATCTACCTTCCTGCCTTGCTCAGGATCTACTGTTTTCTCAGCCTTTTGTTTGCTCCAGGACACCCAGTCTGGCATTCAGTCTGTCTTAAATGAACTGGACCAGGGAAACTACTTTTAAAATGTCTGTCCCTAATGGAACTCACCACAGAAACTTGTGGAGCCAGCACCAGTTCCTCATTTAAACCTGTGCCAGGTGCACCTGCCCTGATAAAGACCGGGGCTTCCCGACCATTGAAACGTAGCAGCCACGCATTTGTTCCGCGCCCTTTTCCTCTGGGCGCCTACAGTTGCCCCAGACCCAGCGCTGGTAGATGAAGCCCGTGGCCCCGTGGAGCGGACCTGACCGTGTATGACCAAGGTCAGATTCGAGCAGGGTACAAATGCGGTCCCGCCGGGGGGCAAATCAAGTCGGGCCCCCTCGGAGCAGTGGGTCTGCAGTCAGGGACTCTCCCCTTGGTCCAGATGCCGCCCAAGGTGACTCCTTACTAGGCGAGGGCTTGCACACGTTGAGTCATCGTTCTAAAGCTTAGGAATTCGTAAGTTGTCTGTGTAGCAGCTTGTCATCCTGAGCCTGTGGTTTACTGATGTTCGTCAGAGTAGCAAATCACTTTTGGTTAGAATAAATGTTATTTGGGGTTACATCACCTGCCTAATTTGACTTTGTGCACCTCTGCAACATTTCACTTGACGTAGTCGGCAGGATGTCAATAAAGGAATTGACTGTGCCCCTTCACCCCCGGGCATACAATGGGCGAAGGAGAAGTGGTCCGACCCGGTGGCGGTGGTAGAATGGCTAGCACAATGCCGCGGAACCAGTCGGGATGGTAAGCGTAAAGGAACCATGTGTGCCATTCAAGGTGCCTGTTTAATTCAAGCTCAAGACCATCGCAACGAGAGTGAAAGGCAAGCCAATTTACTGAAAAGAGAACGAGAGCCTACGCGTTTGTTAGAACAACAACAACAAAATAATTATGCTAGCACAAACAAAAAAGCCCCCCAGTATTGCCCAGCTGTTGTGGTTTAACCCAGCTGGCAACTCAGCACCACGCAGCCGCTCGCTCACTCCTCCCTCCCTTAGTGGGATGGGGGAGAGAAACGGGAAGGGAAAAAAAGGTTAGAGCCGAGGGCTGAGATAAAGGCAGTTTAATAAGGGAAAATAATAATAATAGTAATAATGAGAATGGTAACAGAATAC